GAGTGGCGCGCAGCCGACCCTTGACGCAAGGAGTGCACGGCGGCGCAAGCGAGGGAGGGAGCGACCGAAAGACACGCGGGAGACCTGAGACATGACGCTGGCTAGCCATGCTGCGGAGGCGTGGGAGGGACGGGTGACCAAGACGGTGGTGCCATAGGACTGTGGAGTGGGCTAGCGACCGACACGAGCATGACGCGGCAACCTGACCAGAAGCAGCTACCTGGCCGGACGCAGCTACCTGTGGAGGGCTGGTGTGCAGTGTGAAAAGGCTGGATCCCTACTCCTGACGAAACTCGACGTGGCCGTCCTGAAGGTATCCAACAACCACCAAGTTCCGAGAGAACGAGGGGATGTGGAGTCCAGACAGGACACCAGAGGGGACAACCAGGCACGGGAGAGTAGTGGTGCTGCGGGCAACTGCTGGTCCTGAAGTAGGGTCAGTCAGTGCCAGTTCAAGGTACTCTTGCTGTTTTGACTAAGTCCCTCTTGATCCCTCTCTCTACAAACTCGGACCCGAGGATAGGGGCTGGTCTTGTACCAGGCACTCAAGGACCCTTGGAGGTGACCCCGAGGAGAGGTTTTAAGTTTGATAAAGTCTTAATAGCTTCAGTTTATTAGGCCCTTAGACCAACAGGTTCTGTTGCTTGGAGTTATTTGGGATCATCCCTGGTTGTTCCCAGGTTTATTCCCAAGGTCCTTGCTAGCTAGAACTATTTATTCCTTCTCTGTTTGTACCTGGATATAGTCAATTTGATTCATGCGAATTCCTCCCTTCCTGGAATTTCGTTTCTACGCGGTGCGACGGCGGAATGCTATCCGAGTCAACGCTAGTACGCTAGCACTCCAACACTAGGCAAACGCTGTCCAAGCCATAACTTCGTAATGGCAGAACTTTTCGCGAGGCAACTTGGTTGATTTTAAAGCTTTTGGAGCAAGCTTCGATATAGGAAATTCTCAGCTTAATCCGATTGACGGTCTGCATGATACGCTGCGCGACGTTCAAGGTACTCTTGCTGTTTTGACTAAGTCCCTCTTGATCCCTCTCTCTACAAACTCGGACCCGAGGATAGGGGCTGGTCTTGTACCAGGCACCCAAGGACCCTTGGAGGTGACCCCGAGGAGAGGTTTTAAGTTTGATAAAGTCTTAATAGCTTGAGTTTATTAGGCCCTTATACCAACAGTACCTGCGCGAGACATTCTCTTTTACGAACGTCTCTCCCTTGACACCTGGCTCGCAGATCAGCAAGCAAGCAAAGCTCAAACTTACGCCAACAACGGCAGAAGCTACACCTCTCCAGAAGATGAGGCAGCAGCAGCAACTCTCTACCGCGAGCCCGCTGACAAACATCCCAGTGTACCTCTTCGTCCGCGTGATGACGACGATGACGATGACGACTACGATCCTCTTAGCCTAGACCCTCTTAGCGTCACGATCTTGCACCAATCGCTCCTTCGGAACACTGGGGCGACGTCGATGATGTGTTTGAGGTAACCACCCAGGAAGCGCATAACGCGGGGAACGTCACAGGACTACAACTACTCGGCCTACACACCGCCACGTCCTCCGCCCTGCGCGAGCCGAAGAACCCGCGAAAGGTCATGGCAAGCCCCCATACCAATGAGTGGCGTGCAGCCATGGATGATGAGCTGAAAGCGCTAGATTCACGGGACACCTGGGTCCTAGTCGATTGTGCAGCAGTGAAGGGTAGGAGGGTGCTATCCAGAAAATGGGTATTTCGTCTCAAGACTGCCGCTGATGGCACTATCGAGCATTTTAAAGCAATATGGGTCATACGTGGGTACGACCAGCAGCACGAAATTGACCTCGATCAAACTTTCGCTCCCGTGAGTTGCCACACCTCTGCTCCATTCCTCCTCGCTATCCCTGCCGTTAAGCACCCACCACTTCGGCAAATCAACGTGAAGAACGCGTTTCTATATGCGTTAGTCAATGCAACTATCTTCATGGAGCAGCCACACACCTACGGGGAAGGAGACCCAAGGGTCTATCAACTGAAAAAGTCCCTCTACGGGATTAAGCAGGCGCCGCGAATCTGGCAGCAGCATCTACACAAGATACTCCTCGGGGTTGGCTTCAAGCATCTGCCGCACGACCCGCGAATATGCCGCCTTCACTTCAACGGCGACTACACTGTGCTGATAGTCTACGTCGATGACCTACTATCCACATGCACCAGTAACACGCTCCTCAACCAGTTCGAGCAGAACCTGGCGCAACACGTCGACATCACCATCAACCACAAAGCCACGTTGTTTTTGGGTTTGCACATCACTTGCGCCCCGGAAACAATTCACCTGTCAGCCTCGAAGTATGCGGAGCAACTGGGCGAGCGCTTCGAAATTCCACCCGCACCAACCCCCTCTCGCACGACCAACACCAACTACAAACCGGACAACAAACCTCTGTCGCCCGTAGGACTCCAACTTTTCCAGCAGCAACTGGGATGGCTTGCTGTTCGCATCTGTCACCTGCCGACCCGACGTTTCTTACATCGCCAGCCAGCAGGCATAATATTCACGCAAGCCAGTAGGAGAGAACCTGCTGGACCTGGAGCTCACCCTGCAGTACTTCATTTCCACGCCTGACATCGGACTCTCCTACTCCACTTTGATAACACCATCATTCAATTTCACTGCCTATGTGGACGCAGACCACGTCGCTGTCCCTGCCAATCAACGATGATGAATTGGGTTCGTCTTCCGTCTCGGGCGAACCGGCCCAATCTCCTGGAATTCCCAGAAACAAGAACTGGTTGCGCTGTCGTCAGCCGAAGCAGACTACATCGCCCCAATTGCTGCAGTTTGCGGAGGGCTCTATCTACAAGAGCTCATGCAGGAGCGAAAATCCCAACTTCGCCCACCTTTCGTCTCCACTATGACAACCGCGAAAAAGAGGGGCTTCGTTAACCAAACGAAGCACATCGCGCTGTGATATTTTTTTGGCAAGGACGAAATTGATCAAGGCAAGGTCGATCTGACGTACTGCCCGACTACCGAGATGGTAGCCGATTTCCTCACCAAGCGACTGCCACGTCAGCACTACGAGCAGTGCTCCAACCTCATAGGAGTAGTCAAACGAGTCAGCTTCCGATGGGGGTGTTGAGATATAAACCTTTATGAAGAAACGTTCCTGTACGCTACAAGATCAGACCTTACCGAGTACGAAGACGAGGAGTCAGAAGAATTGAAGCGACACTAGCAACCGTCAGATCGAAACCGATGCAGGCAGAAACATTTGAAGTGAAAATGGCGAGAAGAGGTTTGAAACTGGTTCCCGCGCCGCACGGTTTGAATTCGCTATAATAAGGGAATGTACCCTTTAGAGTACATGGCTAGCTAGGGCGTTTCTTTTCCCCTATGTATTCCTATATAACTAAATGTATGCATTGCTATCATCATCGGAGTCATTTACTTTCTCTCTGACCTAAGGTCACTACTTCTGCTGCAATTCTACCTGCGAATAACCATGAGCCGATCCCTGGCTAAGTCCTGTTTAGGGTTGAAACAGTGATTGTTCTGCAGGTTCCATACCACAGGCTTGTACTCAAAGGATCGCACCTTCGGGTGCAACGGAACGAGATAGCGAGGATTGCGCTAGGTGTCAAACGAGTACAAAGTATGAGCGAAGGCAATGAGCGAATAATTATGCGGGAAACGTGCAACAGTTACGTGGTGCGTGCGAGCTAGCTAGTGCTAGGCTGGCATTGAGGTTCGGGCTAGTCCCGAAGCGTAGGCTGACTCGGCCAGGCCAGCAGTGCATGGTTTGGTAAAACAGTGCGTGCAAAGTTGGCGAAGCCCCGTTAGCAGTAACGGGCGAACAACGGCTGCTGCTTTAAGGAATGCCGAAAAAATCCTTACAACTCTCGATATTCATCATTGTAATTTGACATCCCTTTTGGCTTGTAGTGTGGAACTTGGCTGCTTTATGACGTGTAGTGGTTCAAAGTACGACAAGCGCGAATGCTGTGCCGCACAGACCATCTCGATTTCACGTGCACGTTCGTTGAACCTCGAAGAACAGGGCACTTGCGATACTGACAATTTCTCAGCCTGATTTCGCATTCATCGTTAACGTCCGACTGGAACATCGTGCACGCATTGCCGTGGTCGCAACTTTGCGCTGCTGAAAGAGGGTAACCAGCGAGGCGAGCCATGATGTTCCCGCGCCATCCCAAACCTGCACCACACGCGTTGTGTGCAGAGTTGAACCAATACACGTCTCATCAATCAGCCTTGGCTGCTGCATTGCCATACTGTGAAGAGGCCAATGACCACCATTGGATTCAAGCGAGCTCTTTGACTGAAGCGAGAGCCCGCAACTGTGTGGTAGCAGTTTGCTGAACTCGAATTTCGCGTGCGCGACTGATTCGCGTGTCGCGGGCCCCACGGTCCGCAGCGTCCGGCGCTATGGCGTCACCACCATCGCAGGGGGCGACATCCCACGGCCAGGACGATGTAACATATTTAGTAGCTTCCACGATCACAGAATGTACGAGCCACCACTGGTGCAACAGCCATCGTCCGTCCAGCAGCACCGATTTAGCGCCTTCAACCCCCCCGACCGCATCTGACCTTCACGGCACACGCCTCACCGCACCCACGCGCTTCGCGTACCGTCTCCTCTCGTCAACCCGCCAAACTCGTTCCCCCTGTCATCCGCGGCGCCGCACTCCGAGCGCGTCTCTCCTCTGCCGCCATGGCGTCGGCGGCCTTCCCCGCACTCTCCTCCACTGTGGCTCCCGCGCCTTCCGCCCTTTGGTCCGCCAACCTCACCGTGAGTTTCCCACCGCCATGGCGTCGGCGCGTGCTCTCCGCTTCCCCCATCTCCGCGCGCTTTCCGTCTCCAGTGCCCTCTCAAACTTGGAGGCTGCTCCTTGCCGGCGGCCCAGCGCATCTCCCATTTCGTCTTCCCCTGTTCCCGTGCTTTCTCCACTCCTCTCCCCTCATCCTGCCGAATTCCCCCCTTCTTCCGATCCCAGGCGCCGTATCCGACGAACGCGCCGTGGCAGAACATGGTGCTGGGGCAGGGCGGCAACCCCGAGCTCGTGACGCCGTACCTCGTGCAGAGCGCAGAGGGGCGCATCGCGTGGGGGCTGCTGGTGCGCGACCCGCAACCCGGATACATCGTGCAGGCGTTCGTCACCGCGCTCATGCTCTCCATGCTGCAGGGCCTTCCCCCCCACCAGCTCTCCGCCTACGACGACCTCTTCGCCACCCTCTCCTTCCGCCAACCCTCCTCCGCGCCCGCCGATCCCTCCATCCTCGAGGTCCCCCTAATGCGCGGGTCCCCCTTCCTCACGTTCATATTCCCCCCGGGCAGCCCCCCCGCGACGCCCGTGCTGACGACAATCTATGCCATCACGGGAGTGGAGAGCAGCAGCGACAGCAGCAAGTACCGTGTTGCGCTCAACAACGGCCAGGTCAGTCCGCAGCGCCAACCGCACCCCTTTGCTGCCCAGCGACTGCCGCCGTACCAGCCCCATTCGCTGTCTCACTCGCCCATGCCTCCCGCTTGCTTACTCTCCATACTCACCACCTCCGTCCCCTCGTTTCCCCCCCAATTATCTTCCCCTACACCAGACATGGCTGGTGTACCTGTCGGCGCCGCTAACCCTGAGGCAGGATGGGTCGACGCTAGCAGCGGACGTGCCGTTCACGGGGACGATGTGCGTGGCGCTGCTGCTGGGCTCCTCCGCGCAGGACGAGGAGGCGCTACTGGACGCGCACGTGCCCACCGTGCTGGTGGGGGGGAGTACGCACGTGGGCGCGTTCCGCATCAAATACACCTGGCGCACCCAGCAGTGGCGCGAGCCGGCCAATGGCGACACCGAGGCGCCACTGCTCATGCTTTCACTGCCAAGTGAGTAGGGGCGTGCTGTGACTGTCATCGCAAACACGGTGTTGCCATATGTCACCTGGAATGCCATCACAAGGCGTCATCGGGTTATGAGGGCAATCACCCACCACCCTCGCCATCTGCTCATCAAATCAAACTGAACCCCTATCCCCCTGTTCCTCCCTACCGTCGGCCCATTCTCCCCCATGAGCAGTGCACCGGCGCCTGGAGGTGAGCGTGCACAGCCCCTCCTCTGCCTCCGCCCTCCGCCCTCACCGCAGCGGCTCCCCTTCCGGCGCCATGGGCGCCCTGCGCGGCCACCACAACTCCGCGTCTGCCAGACCCTCTATCACACGCGGCAATGCACCGTGGGCGTCCGTGGGAGATGAGTCGGTGCCCGATGCGTCAATGCTGGCCTACCCCACCATCGACGGCCAGGCGGTGGGCATGCAGGGGGCGCTGTGGCGCCTCAAGGTTCCCAAGCGGCCGTCCACGTGGCGCGCAGGGCCACTCTCGTCCGACGCCCAGCTGCTGGACGAGCTGAGGGCCAGCCTCAAGCAGGACGTGGCTGCCGCCCCTCTCCTCCCCCTCCACCTACTCCTTCGGCAAGACAGCAGCGCGTGCCGCCCGCCTGGCGCTGATCGCAAAGCAGGTGCGGGATGAGGACAGCCTGGCCGCCGTGCTGCCGGCCCTGCGGACGGCGCTCTCCGCATGGCTGGACGGCACCTTCTCCGGTAACCGCCTGCTGTACGACCCCACGTGGGGTGGCGTGGTGAGTGAGGCGGGGTCGCGTGACCAGGGGGCGGAGTTTGGAGCGGGCATGTACAACGACCACCACTTCCACTACGGCTACTTCATCTATGCCGCTGCCACCGTCGCCAAGTTTGACCCCGCGTAGCGCGACCAGTACCGTGCGCCGCTTAAGGACCTCACGGCGGACTACATGTCAGCAGAGCGCACCGCGGCGTTTCCGAGGCTGCGGCACTTTGACGCGTACGCGCTGCACTCGTGGGCCAGCGGGCTGTTTGAATTCGGCGACGAGCGCAACCAGGAGAGCTTCAGCGGGGCGGACAACGCATACTACGCGGCGGCGCTGCTGGCGTCCGTGCTGGGCGACCAGCCGCTTGCCACGCTGGGCGCCATGCTGGCCGCCGTGGAGGCCTTCGCCGGCCAGACCCTCATGCACGTGCCGCTCGCCTCGTCTACTCCGGATTCGTCCCTCTCACCCGGCTACGAGGCGGTGTTTGCGGACGGCAACCGCGTGGTGGGTGTGCTGTGGTCCACCAAGCGTGACGCCGCGCTGTGGTTCGCCCCGCCTGCGGACATGGAGAAGCGCGTGGGCATCCAGGTGCTGCCCGTCTCGCCCTTCCTCACCCACCTCTTCCCGGACCACGAGTTTGCCAAGCAGCTCGTGGAGTGGGCGCAACCCGTGCTGACTGGCACCGCCACGGACGAGTGGCGCGGCTTTGCGTGGGCGCTGCAGGCGCTGTACGACCCGTAGGGGGCCAGGACGAACATTGCTGCTCTAACGGCGTTTGATGATGGCAACTCCAAGACCAATATGCTCTGGTGGCTCGCTTCCAACATGCCATAGTAGGCAAGGTTGCTCAAACAGTAGTATTTTGGTATTTGTGCATGTACAAAACGGCTTTCACATAGCCTTGCTCACATGTATAGTCAACATCTCTATTTATACTCATGGCGTTGCTTTGCCATGACTTGCCTCCTGTTTTCTTTCCCAAACACAGTAACCATCTCCAGACGCAGCCACCTGGAACTCCGCCTCGTTGGGAGCCATGTCCCATCCCATCTCGTACGTCAGCCGTTGCACGCACCAAGTGTCCCTCCCCCTCTTGCATCCTCCTCATCTTCCCTCCATCACCCTCCCATCTACTCCCCCACCATCTCAGCCAGGCTGCACCTCTCCATTCCCTCCACATCACGTGCACCACAACTGCCTACTAATACCCAACACCTCCTCCATGCCCCTTGCGCTGCTCTCTTCCCCCCTCTCTCCAACCTCCATTCCCTCTTTCCCCCACCTCTCCTCCTCGTTGGCTGATGGTTAATGGTGGCAATAAAGAGGTGCTGCAATTACTGCAATAGCCCATCTCGCCCCTCTCAACCGAACTTCCATTCCCATTCCCCTCCCTCTCCCCTCGTTATTTTCTAATGTATACGGCCTCATCACTTTGTGGTTGCTTGAACACGTTTCTTGAGATAATTGGCAGACAGATCATGACAGATGGGCGGAAAAGGTAAGGGAGAGCATGAAAGGTGAGCATAAAGAAGGTGTTGTGGTGTCAGCAGCTGGTTCATCACTGATGCAACCAGGTGTACCTCTGCTTAGGCAGAGGGATAGGCTTGCAATAAGGTTGCTTACTTTTAACCGGGACTGGGAAGGAAATACTCAAAGTTCAGTGTGCAATGGTTTCGGGCAATGTCCAGAACGGTGGTTTATGCTGCCGTGGCTGCTGCAGAGGCGGTGGATGCTGCACGACCTAGGGTAGGTAGCAACCAACCTCTTTTGCATACCCCCTCCCCCCGCCTGAGCCCTCCCCATCTGCTGCAGAAGTGGCGGTGTGTGCTGCACGACCTGTGGTAGGTAGCATGTTTTCAACAAAACCCACTTGCATACCACCTGCCCCAACCGAGCCCGCCTCATCTATTTCCGAAGTCACAGTGGCAGCAGGAGTGGCAAGCGAGGCGTTACTGGGGAGGTACTGCTCCCCACTCCATGCCCCTCTCTCTGTCTTGTCATGTTCACATAGTTGTTTGTTTGTGAGCTACTTAAAACCAGGGTGCACATTCAATTGGATTTCTGTCAAAGGTTATCCTTTGACCTCGGGGTTACTCAGTGATTTAGAAATATATGGGGGGGGTGTTCGCCTGAGCAGGTGAACATTTGAACCCTCGAGAATTGGCAAATGTATACCAAAGTCATTGAATGTGCTTCCGCCAATTCGTTTCCCCCCTTCCCGTACCTATTCCGCTCCCTCCAAAATTGTTTCCCCTTCCCCCACAATATCGTTTCACCCCCTTTCCCCTTTCCGCCACCCCAGTTGCCCTCCCCTTGATCCCCAATTTCTTGATTCTAGTGTTATCAATTTCTCCCCTGCTGAGTCTCATCTCTCACGGACGAAAAGCCGCACGCTCGCCCATTCTCAACTTTTTATTCGCTGCTCGTCAACCGATCAGCAGTTCCCGCAAACATGCCGCCCAAAATTTTCCTGCAGTCGCGTTGAATGTTCCCCCCTGGTTTTAAGAAGCCCTGGTTGAGCAGGGTGGCAGGGAAATGTGTTATTGGGACAGCTGTGCACATGCACCTCATCCCATACATCATCCCATATCTCACCATCGAGGAAGTCATCCCGTACCCAATCTCACACCTCATCCCACACCCCATTCCATCTCACACCTCATCCCACACCCCAAACCATCATGCTCGATTCCCTAGTACACTGACCGTCGTTTCTGAATTCCTTTGATTCATGTAACGCCTTACCCTCGCATGCCTGCCGCCAACAAACGTGCCCACTAACACTCATGCCTACCTTGCTAATTGTTTCCCTCCACTCTCTTCCCCTCCCCATCCCCCCTCCCCCTCCTCGCCCTCGCCCTCCCCCTCCCCCTCGTCCTTGATGGGTAGATAATGGTGGCAGCAGAGAGACCCTACATGCTCTCCCCCAACCCTACCTTCCCTCCTATCTCCCCTCAGCTGCTTCTACCAGCCACCTCCTCATGGTGGCATGCCGTGGGGGGAGGGCGACTCAGGGGAGGTAATATCTGGGGCATGGGCAGAACCAAGATGCTGGTGTATCGGTGTTTGGCACCTCCAGATCGGAGTGTCTTCAGTTTTGGAATTTCGTGCTTGTGAGCAGCCATGGTTTTGAACTCAAGCAAGAATTTAGAGTGGTGGAACAGCTATGCATTGCACCTCATTCCATACCTCATCCCATACCTCATCCCACACCTCTTCTCATACCTTATCCCATACATCACATGACCTTTCCTGCACCTCATCTTATACTTCATCTCATACCTTATGTCATGTTATGCATTGCACAGTTTCGTTGATTCTTACCGTAATTACTTTCGCTTCTTTCAGTGCTTTCTGTTTCTTACACTCATGCCCGCCCATCTCTTAGTCACAGCATAATCCTCTCGAGTGCAGAGTGGTGTAAATGGGAGCCACACACCAGCAGAAACTGAGTCACTAGTAACCAGCCACTTTAGGGGTGCATTGAGTGGGTGGAGGAGTGTGGCTGCAGTGAGAAGGTGCAGTTTTTGCGGTTCTGTCTCGTGTACCATGAAGTCTGGTGTTTTGCGTACGGTATATCCACCATGAATTCTGAAGCAGATAAGCCATTGCGAGAGCTGGAAGTGACACATAGGGTAGGAGGGCGACCTGGTTGCAATGCAATGCAACGAAATAGGGAAACCCAGATTCAATTGAAATTGAAATTGTTATCTTCTGCTTGCTTCCTTAATGGCAGTGAATGGGCCATGTGGGTGGGTGATGCAGCAGAATGCATGACTTAAACCCTTCATGTGTGTAAACAGCTCCATTGTTGCTTCACTTCTGCACTCCGTTCCCATGGATCATGCCGTGGCCTGCCACCCAGTCAAAGGTATTGTAGCAAGCACTGCACGGCACATGTGTACATGCCTTTGATGCAGATAAAATGTGGTGGAAACATGTATATACAATACGGTAAGATTGGGGCATCTTCAGTCGGAAAGGCGATAAAAGTGAGGTCTATTCTAGCTTGCAGGTAACATCGGGCCAGCAAGACTAGTTGAACGTAACCCATTATTGCAGATGTCAAGGCACAAGTTCAGAACCATAAGCCTACCCTCAGCAGTGCACAGGCAGAGGCTCACCCAGCCACCGAATTGCACACATCCACACTCCGAGCCTACAAGCCTCTCCTCATCATCACTTATGTCCCTTTCCCTCATCATTACTCCCTACCAACCTACCCCCCTATCTGCAAGCACATATCCTCATTGCACACCAAGTTCCCTAGCAGCAGCAGCAGCTCCCCTCAGCAGCCCTGCAATATATTTCTCAACCCCCCTTATCTCAACCTTCGCCCACAGCTGCTGCTGCTGCCACTGCTGCCGCTGCTGCTGCTGCCACTGCTGCTGCCACTGCTGCTGCTGCCACTGCTGCTGCCACTGCTGTTGCCACTGCTGCTGCCACTGCTGCCGCCACTACTGCTGCCTCTGCTGCTGCTGCCACTGCTGCTGCTGCCAATGCTGCTGGCACTGCTACTGCCACTGCTGCTATGCCAACCATGCTCGCCTCCCTCACTGCTCTCTTGCGCGCCCTTGTGCCCAGCTTCCCTGCCTCACCTCCTCGTCCCCTTCCCTGCTCCACCACACCTCTCCTCTCCCATCCCCTTCTCCTTCCCCATCTTCCCTGCTTCAAACCGTTCTATTATAAGCTATGCCATGGAGGCAATTTCTGTGCAGCCTCCTCTCATGCACTCAGTGACTTCTTGCCCAACCAGGCCTGCACGTGCTTCTGCCCAACAGCAAGGCACGACCATTTCCAAACTCTCTGCAGCATGCAAGTTGAACCACCATTCCATGCCTCACTCCTGTGCATGCATGCCTCCCCTCCTCAGGCGTCCGTATCAACACACGATCACGTCCTCTCTCACCTCGAGTTCCTCTTCATCATCACTCCCCTCCACTCTACCCGCCAATCCGCCAGCGCACGTCATCGATCTTAAGGTGACCCCTTTTTTGGAGTATAGAGAGTTGTCAGCTTGGTCAGGGCAGTCAGCTTCTGCAGCCCATCATCCGTGACTGCCGTGCCATCCAGGCGAAGGTCCTCAAGCCCTGACAGTTTCCCCACATGCACCGTTCCCGCATCCAACACACCCTTGCGGTTAGAAAGCCTTCGCACTTCGAGAGAAGAGAGACCCGTCAGCTGCTGCAGCCCATCGTCCGTGACTGGCACCTCATTTAGCCAAAGTATATCAAGTTCTGTCAGCCTTTCTACCTCCACCATGCCAGCAGTTGTCACACCTTGGTTAAAGAAAAGGGCCAGCTCTTTAAGAGAGGAGAGAGCTGTTAGTTGCTGCAGCTCATAATCCATGACTGCCGTCTGATGTATCCAAAGTTTCTCAAGAGCTGTCAGCCTTCCCACCTCCACCATGCCAGCAGATGTCACACTTGGAGAGAGGAGAGATTCGTCAATTGGTGCAGATCCCACCCTCCTCTCCTCCCGTGAAAACTCTTCTGTCCCTTCTTGCTTTCTCTTTTTACTCTTCCCATTCAGCCCTTTCACACCCGATGCCCTACCACGCTCAGCCAACTCCCCCCTATGCATGCAGCAGTGAAGGATAGACAGGTAAGGGTGATGCAGCGCAGGCAGGGCATGGAAGGGTAGGGCAGGGAAGGGCAGGACAGGGAAGGGAATGGCAGGGCAGGAAATGGCAGGGCAGAGCAGGGTTTGGTTGGCAAGTCCCTCTTGTCACCCTTTGCCCCCTCCTAGTGCACCCCGTTGCCCCTCTGTGTCAACCGCCCTTGTGTGGCTCCAACCTGCTATGCACGAGGTCCAGCACCTCTGACTCAGGCATCTGGGCACTCGGCCTCGCCTCAGCTTCAGCCCTGGGCAAAACAAAGTAACCGAGCTTGAACGCGGGATCTACGAATGTTGCGACGCTCAGCTCATCGCTGCTGGACGCGTAGTACTCTTGCAGCTTCGGCATTGCTGCCTTAATGCACGCAGCAATATGCAGTGAGGGAGGAGGGGTGTTGTTCTACAACTTCTCTAGCTTGTCCATGAGGCTGTTGAACTATGGCACCACATAGCTCACCGTGGGGTAAAGTGGCCCTCAGTCGCTAGTGTCACGGTGTTGAAGGGACGGAAAAATGCCGCAAGCTCCTCTAGAGCCTACCAATGTAGCAGAGTGATACGAAGCGCGACAACGCACTCAATCATGGCTGCCGCTACAATCTTGGGCTGAAGATTCACCAGCTCCCGTCGAGGTGTTGCCCGCCATAGCTACCTTTAACGAGGATCACTATAACGCAGCTCTGATACCA